CGAAGGAAAGCATAGCAAAGAAGACCGAGACATGGATGGACGAGGAACAACATCCCAGCAACACCCGGACAATGATGGAGCAGAAGCACTGCTCAACAGGATTGTCAGTGGGATCACCATGCACCGTGCCTCAAAAGCATACTCCAGAACCAGCAGCACGACCACACAAATATGAACCCAAGCCTCACAAGAGATATCCATGGATATCTATATATATATATATATGCATGCAAAATGTTAGGTTTAAGGTAAAGCAGGTCCTGACTGACCAGGGCAAGCTTCGGACCAAACTGGTCGATCAGGTTTCCCATTGTGACCTTTTCTCATCGAACACGTCCACAAAACTAGACATTTTTGGTTCGGGGAGATCACGGAGCTGGACGCAGAGATGGAAGCAATATGGAGTGAGAATGCGACGTAAGACATTCGAGCAGGCTTCGACAGGACCGACAGTCGGCAATATCACACGCAAGCTCTCATGTTGGGAACACGCCATTAACTACCAGCCCAGCTTCGAACAGCTTCTCGGCCAGTATCTATGCCCAGAGCATTCGACAGCAGGTGAAGGCATTGGAGTATGGCATGTTGGATAAAGCATTTCTTGACGAAGGAGTGGAATGGACATACTTCGAATCCGCCGACCCTTTGCGGGTCTCGAAGCGCGTGAGATTGTTCCCCCCCCATAACCCCCCATGGGGACTCCAAACCGGAAATTTGACCCCCCCCGGACCCCCCCCCTGGCCCGGCGCGAGCGACTCACGGGGCTCTTCCGGGCCCAAGAGGGCCCCAAGACGGGCCAAGAAGGCCCCAAGAGGCCTCCAAGACGGCCCACGAGGGCCCCAAGACGCCAAACGAACGCTCAAAGACACCCACGATGGCTCCAAGATGGGCCAAGACGCCTCGAAGATGCCCCAAGAAACCTCCAAAAGGCCTCCCAAGGGGGGCTGAGAAGCCAAAATCATTGGTTTTTCAGTTGTTTTTCAATGACTTTTGGGTTTTCGCGTTTTCCGCTTCCCGACGCGCCAAGACGGCCCCAGAGGCCCCGATGACAGCCCCAAGACGGCCCAAGAGGCCTCCAAGATGGCCCCAAGACGGCCCAAGAGGGCCCCAAGACGGCCCAAGAGGCGCCCAACACGGCCCAAGAGGCGCCCAAGACGGGCCCAAGAGGGCGCCAAGAGGGGGGAAAAAAAACTCATTTCGAGCCCTCGGCCCCCAGACGCCCCTGGGAAGCCCAAAGAGGCCCCCCAAGAGGGCCCCAAGAGGCCCCCAAGAGGCCCCAAGCATGCCCCAAGAGGCCCAAAACAGGCCCCAAGAGGCCCCAAAACTGCCCCCAAAGGGTCTCCAAAGTGTGGGCGGTACCACTTGAGGCATACGGACGACGCACCTCGCGTGGTACTTGGTTGGTACCACTTGAGGTGTCCGAGAGACCGACCACGAGATCCCAAAGAACACTCCAGAGGCCTCCGACTCACAACCCAGGCACGGTGGCGGGATCGGCGGGACGGGCCTCAGGCCATTCGAGAAAAAACCCTCAGGACCCACGACAAGATCCTCACTTGTCCTCGTCGTTTTCTTCCTCCTCCCCCTCCTCCTCCTCCGCCTCCTCCTTCTCCTCCTCCTCCTCCTTCTCCTCCCCCGTCGTCTCCCCCCCTGCTTTGTTCCTCCCTACTGTCCACAGCATTCACGCGCTGCCAGACGCGCTGCAGCGCCTTCGTGGAAGCCCCCCAGAAGCTCCGAATCGGCCCCCAAGTGGCTCCCCAACTGCATTCCAGGGGCCCCCGAGAGACGTGCCGCGAGATCCCTATACACATACTTGAAGCCTCTAACCCATAGGCCATGACCCAGAACCTTGTCTCCGTGTCCCCCTCCCCCTCCTCCCCGGCCTCCTCCATCCCCATACACATGCCACAAGCCTCTACCCCACAACCCATAACCGAGAGCCTCATCTCAGTGCCCCCTCCCCTCCTCTTCCTCCTCCCCCACCTCCTCGTCGCCCCCCTCCTCCTCCTCTTCCTGCCCCGCTTCACCTCACCCTCTTCGATGTTTATCCCCCCCAGTTTCCGCCTCACCCCCCATCCTTCTCTCCCCGTCCTCCTTTTTCTCCCCAGCACGCGCGCCCGATTGGCCATCATTTGCATGTCTTGCACTTCAGGGTGCCCTTCTTTGCGTCGCGCGGGACATTGTGCGGATCGGGGAACGCCGATTTCGGTAGTCTTCTCTTGCATGCGCCGCTGCACTGACACGCCTGGCAACTGCGCGCGGTGAACCCGAGTTTTGTGCAGTCTCCGCACACGACTTTGAGTTGCGTCGCCTTTCGATGATGTTCCTTTTGCGTCTGCTTCAAATGTTTCGTGTCTGAGAGCGCTCCTCCGCACGCCGCGCACGTCAGCGGCTTCGCGCCCGCCTCGGCTTTCCGTTTCCTATTATTCGACTGGAGCGTCGTCCTCTGACGTTCTTCCGCGCACCTCTGACACAGCCTCCCCCACGCTGTTTTGTGCTTCTTCTGCGCATCGGACATATCCGCCTCCTCTTAGAAAAGCGACAGACATTGCTCGTTCGAACAACGCACCTTGCGTTTCCTGTTATTCGACTCGCGCGTCGTCCTCTCCCGTTCTTCCGCGCACCTCTGACACAGCCTCTTCCCTGCTGATTCGTGCTTCTTCTGAGCTACCAACATTTCCGCCCCCTCTGGCAATAGCGACGGACAGCCGTCACTCGAACAGCGCACTTTGCACGCTTTGGCAAGACTGGGGTGTCAAACACCGATGCTGTCTCTACAGCTCTCCAGCAGGCAGGGCAAATCGGAGGTTTGGCACCCGAGGAAAAATCATGCTTGGCAAATGAGTTTTCGGAAGCGGCCCCTGCAAAGAGATACACCTTGAGCCGCGGTACACCACCAGGCGAGCAAGAAGCGGGCTCACCGCAGACAGCAAGCTCTGGAGGACCCGCGCAACCCTATCCCCGCCAACCATCCCACCAGCGGGAGAAGCAGCCAGCATCTGAAGGGCCCACCAGCCCAACACCCCTCAGAATCGTCTGAAGCAGTCCAAGTTGTTCGGCTGACGTCATTCTTGTTCAGGAGCACCGGGTCCGAAACGAGAAGCACAGTGGCGCGCAGAACCCAGAGAGAGCGTGAGAGAGAGAGGCCTCTTCACGAGGGGGCTGGCTGCGCCCACACCGACAAGGAGCGCCAGGAGATGAAGGCGTGAGGGCCCCAGGAGCCCCGAGCCCCGCTGAGAGACCAGAAGTGCTCATTTTAACGCTCTGACTGCGTGTGCAGGACCAGTCTGGATCGATCCAGCCGATCCAATCGAGATGGGGTCGACGTGGCCCACGTGCCACGACAAAGGTAGCTCATGAAGACCCGCGGGGGGACCTGGATCTTCATGAGCTCCTCCTGCACATCCTCACGACCTTCTCTATCCCTCCTGCTGCAGCTGCCCCTGCTGCTCGCGCTGTCATTCCTCCTCCTCCCTATCCTCCTCCTCCTCCTCCTCCTCCTCCTCCTCCTCCTCCTCCTCCTCCTCCTCCTCCCCCTCCTCCTCCTCCTCCTCCCTTTCCTCCTCCTCCTCCTCCTCCTCCTCCTGCTCCTCCTCCTCCTCCTCCTTCTCCATTCCTTTTCCTTGTAAAGAAATTCCCCCTGTCGCACCTCGAGGCCAGTTTTTAGGGCGGGCCCGGCGTTTCGCCCGAGACTTCCCTATCATTTATGACCCCGAAGCTTCAAAATTAACAACTGCTTCACAGATGGAGGGCGGGTCGTTTTCAAAATGTGGCTCTCGCCTTAGCGCCGCGCACATTTGTTTTAAAACTTTGCAAGAGTTTCACGGATTGAGGGCGGATTATTTTCAAAATGTGGCTCTCGCCTTAGCGACGAGCACATTCGTTCTTGAAAAATTGCAAGAGTTTCACGGATTGAGGGCGACCAGTTTTTTAATATGGCTCTCGCGCTAGCGCCGCGCACATTTGCTTTTTAAAAAACTGCACGAGGTTCACGGATTGAGGGCGGTTCTTTTACAAAATGTGGTTCTCGCCTTAGCACCGCGCACATTCGTTTTAACATTTGCAAGAGATTCACGGATTCCCAGTCCCAGGAATGGCGCTCTGGCACGTTTCCGGATCGTCAAGACGCAACAATCAAGTTGATCCGTGGCGTTGGAATCCCGAGAACAAACTTTGGGCATGCTTCAGGGTCTT